TGCTTGCACGGTTGACTGGCGAACTTGCGTTGTCTGGATTTAGCGCTTTGTTCTCAGCTAATCTTTGTAACGAACTACAGTATCAGTCCCTGTCCTCTGGCCAGTTCTGGTCTGCGCCTTCCTGCGCCGCACTTGCCGTACTGCACTACAGGACGAGCACTTAATCAACATGCATTGCTTAAACGTCATCGCGTGATCCGTACTCCCTACTAACTTATTGTGGGGAAGGCCATTGCGTCTGCGACCACACTCCCGCGGTACCCAAACCCTTCAAAGACAACTCCGATCAGCCCCAACACACACCGCGGAGCGGTCTCTCCCCCCCCACATACTTCCCAGGTGGTACCCTGGGTCCTCTCGCTCACCAGCCCCTCCTCTCCTTGGCCCTTGTGACATCTGCCAGGCGTTCTTGCTGCACAGGCCGGTATTTCAGAAAACAAGGAAAGTACATCAGATGAATGCAGAGGCGCAGCTTGCCCTCCTTTCCCACCACTCGCAGGCCGTTGATAAGCGTGGGTGTATTGCATTAGCTGGGCATTCCAGTATCCCACCGCAGAGAGCCGTGCTTAACTCGGCTGTAACGACGCCGCTGTGGGAACTGCACTGCATGCGGCCGGTGACCTGCCATTATTATTTCCGGGTTGCAGTCCAGCCTCGCGACCTGCAGCAACTCCTGCACAATAGCTAGCTTGCGGTCCCGCTCAGGCACTATTTGTTGTCCTGGGTGTTCGCACGACGCCCACTCCAGCTGGAGCCCTCCCTCCAGGTGGCCTAGCCAACGTCTCTGTCCGTGAGCGGGCATCTTCTTTAGCTGCCTGGAAGACCTCTCACCACACTGCTACATGTGTAAGTAGCTTTCCTGGCTGGCAGTCCTCGGGTCCGGAAGCAAAAGACGATCTCTTCTACAACTCTTTCTCATTCTGCTGATCTTCTGCGTCATGTCGCCCTAGAGGCTGTAGCCTCTGTCCGGCCTCCTGGAGCAGCTGTATGCCTCGCTGCACGCTTCCTTGGGTGTCCCCGCTCCCCTTGCTGGTGTTCGTCCTGCGACGCCGGGTTCTCCCCTTTCTGCTCCTCACTCACCCACTTGCTGCCTTCACAAGGGTCATCGTTTCACGACAGCCGTTCGTCCAGATCAGCTCCCTCCTCCTCCCGGGTGTCCGTGTGGTAGCCCGTGCTAGATCCTCCGGCTCCTTCCCCCTTCTATCCCTCGCTTGATCGCAGTTAACACAGTAAGCCTGGGCTTCTGGGCTTAGGTCTCCTTGCGCGGCGCCCCGGTGTGGCTAACCAGGGCGTCCGCCCGTTGGGCCACCCGTACTGCCTCCGTTGCTGGGTGTTCATACCGGCAGCGCTGCCCAACCTGCACCTTAACACAGGGCCCCTTCCCGCGTAGCTAGTACACAAGTCAGTGCCATTCACATAGCCCCTGTACACGCTCTCCGTGATCTGCTCCTCCCCCAATTCCTGGTATCCCCGCCGACCCAGCTCACGGTTTAGAGCCACTACTACGCTGGCAGGCGGGCTCAGCCGCGGTCCATCGCGGCCCCTCACCGTGAGGCGTTCCCGGGTTAACTAGGCCCTGGTAGCCCACACCCACCGGGCTACGACTTGCGCTCCTCTGGTCGTGGAAGCCGGGAACCCCCGATTGCCGCCCTTCCCATGCCGTTCTGCTGCCCACACTCTTTCTGCGCTCAATGTCAACCTCCTCCTAAATTCCTTAGTAGGCTGTGAGCCAGCTGCCATGCGCCTCTGGGAACTTCACGGCCGTGCGCGTGAACAGTACCACGGCCGGCCAGGTTCACTCCCGCAACTCCTTGGACATCGGAGGCTGACATCCACAGCCTGGAGGGCCGCCTCTAACCCGAACACCCGGCATTCGCGGGCCTGCTGCTGTAGCTTGAACTCACTCGTCCCCACTCAGTTCCATGGCACCAGGTATCCAGTAATTTGCCCCGTGAAGTGTCCTTTGAGAAGCGAGTTTGGCTTTTGCCCGATGTACACCCCAACGCGCTGATGTTGCGGCCCTGCAGAATCACTGCAGCACTCACGCAATTCCTTGGCCATCCCCGGCCCACCTTAGCCAATGCGTCCTCGAGCACCTCGTCCTCCCGCTCTAGCCTAACACGACTGCGGGTTTACCACCCGCATTGCGTGGTGGCTTGGCGCCATTACTCCAACCTGGCCCTCCGGGGCCTCCCACAGCTGGGATGTTGGGACGCGGCCAACGACCTCGTAATGAAGCGCCTCCGGGGCTGCCATGTTGTTTCCTTACGGCGGCCATGTGCCTCTTGGATGGCCTTCTCCCGGACGCCCCGGTTCGCCTGAGGCTGCTCTTTCAGGCCAGTGGCTGCTGCCGGATACCGGGCTCCCGCTCCCGCGTTGGCTAGCTGCGTCTCCCGGGCCTAATCCTCAGCCCAAGCGTCTGACTGCTGCCGTTTATCCTCCCGTCCTTCCCTGGCTTCCGCACCCCAGGGGTGGCTTCCATGCCTTCTAATCTGTGACTCAGGAAACCGCGCCACCATTCGCTTCTCTTCTTCCACCTGGTCCTCTTAGCCCTGGCTTGGGCTGTCAGGACGAGCTTCCGACCCTTGGTACCCGTTGCCCCGATGCCGCCCTCCCCGACGTGCCTCCACAACTGCACCTCATCCATTGCTGCTGTCCGAGTTATCTCCCCTTTCTGGCTCCAAGTCCTCCTCGTCCACTTCTGGCCCCATGCACTCCGTCTGGGTGCTCCGCTACACGAGAACAATCCCGCTGGGGTTGGTCCTCCGGGCGGACACAACACAACCTACCAGCCCAAAGCAACCCAGCCTGGGTACTTCGCCGCGCGAGAGCGTAACCCCTGGGGTTGGCCTTCCGGATACATGCGACCCATCCTCCTGGCCCAAGGCAACTCAGCCTGGGTGCTTCGCCGCGCGAGAGCACACCCCCTGGGGCTGGCCTACCGGATAAACACGACGCAACCTAGCGACTCAATGCAGCTCCGCCTGGGTGCTTCGCTGTCCGAGAGCAAAACCTTGCGGGTGCGGGCCTTGCGGATAAACGCAACACAAACTACCGGACCAAAGCAACTCAACCTGGGTGCTTCGCTGCGCAAGAGCACACCCCCTGGGGCTGGCCTACCGGATAAACGCAACGCAACCTACCGGCCCAAGGCAGCTCCGCCTGGGTGCTCCGCTGTCCGAGAGCAAAACCTTGCGGGTGCGGGCCTTGCGGATAAACGCGACACAAACTACCGGACCAAAGCAACTCAACCTGGGTGCTTCGCTGCGCAAGAGCACACCTCCTGGGGCTGGCCTACCGGATAAACCCAACGCAACCTACCGGACCAAAGCAACTCAACCTGGGTGCTTCGCTGTCCGAGAGCAAAACCTGCTGGTGCGGGCCTTGCGGATAAACCCAACGCAAACTACCGGACCAAAGCAACTCAACCTGGGTGCTTCGCTGTCCGAGAGCAAAACCTTGCGGGTGCTGGCCTTGCGGATAAACGCAACACAAACTACTGGCCCAAGGCAGCTCCGCCTGGGTGCTTCGCTGTCCGAGAGCAAAACCTTGCGGGTGCTGGCCTTGCGGATAAACGCCACGCAACCTACCAACCCAAAGCAGCTCCGCCTGGGTGCTTCGCTGTCCGAGAGCAAAACCTTGCGGGTGCTGGCCTTGCGGATAAACGCCACGCAACCTACCAACCCAAAGCAGCTCCGCCTGGATGCTTCGCTGTCCGAGAGCAAAACCTTGCGGGTGCTGGCCTTGCGGATAAACGCAACGCAACCTACCGGCCCAAGGCAGCTCCGCCTGGGTGCTTCGCTGTCCGAGAGCAAAACCTTGCGGGTGCTGGCCTTGCGGATAAACACGACCCAGACTACCGGCCTAAGGCAACTCAGCCCGGGTGCTTCGCCGTGCGAGAGCATACCCGCTGGGGCTGGCCTTCCGGATAAACGCGACCCAGTCTACCGGCCTAAGGCAACTCAGCCTGGGTGCTTCGCCGCGCGAGAGCATACCCGCAGGGGCTGGCCTACCGGATAAACGCGACCCAGTCTACCGGCCTAAGGCAACTCAGCCTGGGTGCTTCGCCGCGCGAGAGCCTACCCGCTGGGGCTGGCCTTCCGGACAAACGCGACCCAGTCTACCGGCCCAAGGCAACTCAGCCTGGGTGCTTCGCCGCGCGAGAGCATACCCGCAGGGGCTGGCCTTCCGGACAAACGCGACCCAGTCTACCGGCCTAAGGCAACTCAGCCTGGGTGCTTCGCCGCGCGAGAGCATACCCGCAGGGGCTGGCCTTCCGGACAAACGCGACCCAGTCTACCGGCCTAAGGCAACTCAGCCTGGGTGCTTCGCCGCGCGAGAGCATACCCGCAGGGGCTGGCCTTCCGGACAAACGCGACCCAGTCTACCGGCCTAAGGCAACTCAGCCTGGGTGCTTCGCCGCGCGAGAGCATACCCGCAGGGGCTGGCCTTCCGGACAAACGCGACCCAGTCTACCGGCCCAAGGCAACTCAGCCTGGGTGCTTCGCCGCGCGAGAGCATACCCCCTGGGGCTGGCCTTCCGGATAAACTCTTCCTATGCTACTGGCCTAAGGCAACCCAGTCCTGGTGCTGGCCTTCCAGCTAAACGCATCTAAGCCTTCGGCCCAAGGCCACTCAGCCTGGGTACTTTACCGCGCACCCCCTGGGGCTGGCCTTTCGGATCAGCACAACGCAACGCTGGCGTTTCTCTCCCTGAGAGCATCACCCGGGTAAAGCCTACCGGCCGTGGGTACTCGTTATTGCGCAGGCTTCTTGAGTCTAGTTGCTACCCTTTGCGGGCGTAGCTCCCCGATGAGCGCAAAGCGGTCCGGGCGTTTCGGTGGGCTCCAGCTGGGCACCTGGCAGTAACCCGTGGTGATAATAAACCACGTTGAGCTCAACCTCAAAGCAGTGACCTCTCCGCCGCGGCGCCGTCCCCTCCTAGCTGGATCACACCATTCCCCAGCAAAATATGCGTAGCTGCCAAGCCTTTGCGGCCGGTTCCGGGACACCCCTTTCCCTCTTACACGCAACCGGGTAGGCCTAGTTGCAGCTGGCTGCGCCTGCTTTCAGACAACATGCATGGCTTCAGTGTGCATGGGCTCACGTGCATTGGCGGTGCAAATTCTCAGGCTAGCTTGTGGTGGGAGTATTGGTGGGAGTATTTTCTTTCGGTGCCGTGCAAAGGGGTTTAGAGGCCTCCGCATCTGTAATAGCAGTTGGCAGACAAGTTGATGGTGGGTTTTAGTAGATGTTACAAACTATTTGCCTTTTTATTGCCTTAACGTTGATTACAGGCGGTCAAGGTGCTTTCATCGGATTGCGTGCCGTCGTGGTGTAATGGAAGTTGGGCTGAACGTCGATGCTGGTACGGGATTATTCCCATTATTGCCGTCATAGATGTAATAACCGAAAACGTTCTATAAATATTTCCGTTAACATAACCAGCTATTGGTCTTTCCATTGTCGGAAGCAGCTCGTCGGGACCGAGCGGGCAACCACCGAATGCTCCTTACTGCTGGATATGGCCCTGTAACCTCAATTAAAACCATAAACGCTGGAGGCAAAATACTGCATACGAATGTGCTTCAATGCCCGGCCGGTTACGTTGCGCCTCCACAAGTCAGCCGCTCGTCCTACCTTGGCATTGCGTACGACGGGAGTCAACAAATAGCTTCCCCAGGTGCCTCAATACCAAAACAAGTTCAATACCTGTTCCGAGCATTAGATTTGTTTTTCATATCCTAAGAAGAAAGGTGCTTGAGCTAATGAAAGTTTAGATACCGCCTGCACACGCACCGCCGATTAAATCGATGCGCTTTACGACCAGTGGCGGCTTACACGAAGCCGCTCTATGTGAAAATATCTCTGAATATAAACTTGCAAGTGGAGCTGACCTGAACTTTACATACCTGCATGCCAAGGGCGATCGCCGCAGAGCGCGTGATACGCCTGTACTCGCTTCACTTTCCCTTTCGCGGTCCAAAGTGCAGCAAGGGCCGCGCTCGCTGCTTGCATCGCTTACTGGGCTTTCCCTCCTCTTCCAGGGCAGGTGAGATAATGCCAAGCGGCAAAGCGGGCATAGCGGCTGCAAGACTTCATGTTTTATGGAATGATCTGTGCCCATGTAATCTATCATATTCAGGCTTGATAGGAAAGCCGTGCAACGTTGCGCGGCTCACCTGCCCAATTTTTGACTCGTTGCCATTGTTGCCATGACCTAAATTAAACAGGGATGCAGGCCTTCGAAAGACCTTTAACTCCATAGATGCTGATGGCAAGGTAAACAGAAATGATCGCTGCCTTGCCGGGTGCCGTCATCTCCTGTATGCACGAGCGTAACCTGTTCGCAACTCGGTCCTTTCAAGTTTCTCATAGCTACCTTGTGTCGCCATTTTTAATCTGTACACTGAGTGCATCGGAAGGGCACAGGTACTGCTGCGTCGGGGACTCGTCTTGCCTTTCTCGGCATGCGTCCCCGGTCACATAGCATTGCTGTTTGGCGATTGTTGCACTGGTGCAGCCTCAGACCTTGCAAAAAAGATGGACACGATAAGCCTGGCCACACTGTCCTTGGCTGTTCCATCCGTTACGAGCAAACTTGCGAAATTCTGAAGGCGTTCACCACAACCCACGCTCATACCATCCGAGCATCAAACCAGCTAAGTGAGCCATACCAATTTTAAGAGACCGTTCATTCCGAAACCATTATTTCTCCTTCCTCTGCGGTGCACGGCCCACTGTTAAACCCCTCTTCCTTCTTTCGCCTCACTGCCAACCGCACCGTCAGCGCTAGGCACGCTAACAACGCAAACGCTGATTCCAGCCTCCCCGTCCTCCCATCCTTCCACATGAAACCGAACCCCCATCTATATCCCGCCTGGCTGACCACCACTTACCTTTCCTCGTGTCTTCATCCCACCCACAGGGCCACATAACGGAGAAAGATCTGGAGACGTACGCCACTCGGAACGGCCTCCCCGCCAGCTACGTGGCTCCCTTTGTGGATGCAGTGCGCGCCACAGCCAAAGGCGGCAACGCGACTGTCGGCCGCAGTAGCACCAGCACTAGCAGCAAGCACCAGCAGGCAGACGCGGGGACAGAGGATGCGGAGGGGGAGGAGGAGGATGCGGAGCTCACGTTCGCCATGTTCCGTCGGTTTGTTCGCAGTCGCGAGGAGGCGCTGCGGAGGGCCTTCAACTTGTTCGACCAGGGTGAGGGCCCGTGGACGGGCGGGAAGGGGGCATGCACACGCACATGCACATGCAGAAAGGATCGGACGAATGCCGACGTCCTTAAGGAGAAAGGGGGGGAAGTTCGGGGATGGGGAAAAGCTGGGCGGATTGGTTTCGTGGACCCAGATCAGGTTTGGGGCAGGGCAAGAGTAACTGCCTTTTTATCCCGAATTCCTCTTCCTGCTTGCAGTTGTTCGTCTGTGTGTTCGTCTGTCCGTGTATCTGCCTGGTTGCCACCTGTCTGCTTTTATCTTCCGGATTGTAGCGTATCGCATTTTTTGGCTGTGAGTGGCTGACTGTTGTTCTTGATCTTGTTGTTGGTGATCGTCGTGGTGGTGGTGCTTGGGTTGCGTTGTGATTCGCAGATGGTGACGGCCGCATATCAGTGGACGACCTGGACGCCTCTTTAGCCCGAGTGGCGGTCTGCTGCCCTAAGACTCGCTGCATATATCGGTGTCGTACTCGGATAGCAAAACAGCTGTATTCCAAGGCGGCTTCGGAACACGGGTGGGTAGATGCCGCCGTATGTATGTCGCCGGGCTGCTGCTGCTGATCGCTGGTGTGGCGGTATCGCTGTTGGGCCCGTTGGGGCGTAACTTCGCACGCCGCCACCTGTGAACCCCCCTCGCCTTGGCCTACATGCATGCGGTGCATTGTCGGAAACAGTCCGAAAGTTGACTCATCCCGTACTGGCCGCATTCATTCGCTCCACTTCAGCACCGAAGCCCCTCTGCCCGCTGCTGACCCGGCTGCAGCTACCTAGGGCTGCCCGAGTTCCGGGACTTCTTCTTGTTGTTGCCTCAACAGGACATGCTGGTGGAGTATTGGGTGGCGGCGGGGGCGGCGCCCGAGCTGTCAGATAAGGTGTCCGTTGCTCGCACAGGGGACGGCGCGGGCGCCAAGGGTTCTCCGTGGGGTGAGGCGGGTGGGCTGGGCTTGGGGGTTGGGGTGAGGCGGAGTGGGGTGTGGCAGGCGGGGGGGGAGCTGGACGCTGGAGCTGGGCTACGGGGCGGGGGTTTGGACCCCCGGGTGGGGGCCCGGAGGCGTCCGTGGGGTGGGGTGGAGGAGTGTGTTGGGCATGGATATATGCTGGTTACGGAGCCGCTGGGGACGCCTTGTTTGCTTTGAAATGAAGATGCTTTGAGGGCGCCCAATGGCTTTTTGGAGGAGTGCTGCTGCTGTGAAGGAAGGAGCACGGAGATCACCTGCTGTTGCTCTGCTGCTGCTTCTGCACCTGGCTGCGGCCCAGCCCTCTCGCTAAGATACACCCTAGCGCTTGAGTTCCCCGCGTATCCCCGCCAGCCGTTGCCACTGCTCCTCAGTGCGGTGTCGGCGGGACAGGAGATGACTCCGCTGACAAGCACCGCACCGGTTAGCGCTCCTAAAGTGCCCTTAAGCGAAAAGACGAGCACGAAGCTTTCACGTGGCAGGCACCTAGGGTCCTTACTTGCCGCTGGACACCTTTCCTTGATCGCCGTCGTACATGCTTAACCCTGGCGCTTATGCTGGTGGTGGTGGTGGTGGTGGGCGCGCATATCCGCAGGCCATTTACTCGCGGGCGCTGTAGCGGGTGCCACCTCCCGCACCGCCACAGCCCCCCTGGAGACACTGAGGCTGGCGGCCATGGCGGGGCAGCTGCAGAGCAGGAGCCTGGTTCAGGTGTGTGTGGGGGGGAGGGGGGGGAAGAGATGGAGCTGGGGCGGGGGTAGAGGGGGTTGGAGAGGGGAGGGGCTACGGGGTAGGAGAAGCACGGAGGTGATAACAGACAGACATGCATGCAGAAAGGTGGACAGGAATGCACAACTGGGGCAGAAGAGGGTGTGGCGTGGCGGGGTTGCGAATGCGCTCACCCGTCCTGCCAACCTCCTGGGGCTGTCTGCAAGAGTCTGCAGGTGGGATAAACGTAGGAAACCCGGGGTGGACACGAAGGCGCGACAAAATCGCTGAACTGAGGTTTAGCTAGAGGGCTGAGGGCCCCCGAAAACAACCCTCGTTACAGCTGAGTCCTTCAATCCCGATCCCCCAAAAGAACTGTACGACAACGGAAACCAGACAACCGGCGAAAGCGTCTCGCTGCTGTTCAGGTGGTCCTCCGCTTCCCGGAGCAGAGCCTTCACGCCCCAAGCCGTACCCCAACAAGTTCTGTTCCCCGCCCTTTCCGACCCTCCCGCCCCTCCCGCCCAGGCCGCCAGCGATATCGTCTCCGCACAGGGCTGGCGGGGCCTGTACCGGGGCAACCTGCTCAACGTGATGCGGTCAGCGCCGCAGAAGGCCCTGGACTTCTTTGTGTTCGATGCCTTCAAACGCATCATTGGGGACGACACCCACTTGCAGATCTTCGTGGCGGCGGGTGAGCGCCCCGGGGGGGGGGATGGGGCCCGGGGCACACAGCGGGGTGGTGCGGTGTTGCAAGGATAATGTGTGGTATATGAAGGATATGCCGGTGTGTGGGGTATGAAGGGAAGTTGAGGGAAAGGGAAAGGGGCTAGGACTGATCATACAGCCGCCTGCCCTCAGAACACCTGTTCCTGAGCCCCACCCTCCGCACCCCACCCCGCTTCTACCTCAGGCCTCGCAGGGTGCACGAGCTGGGTGGCGCTTTACCCGCTGGAAGTCGTACGATCAAGGATCACCGTTGCAGCGGCAGCAGCGGCCGCCGCCGCAGCCGCCGGCTCCGCCGCCGGCGGCACTGCCTCCTGCCTCGCCTCTCCTTCCCCCCACCGTGCCGTTCCGGGTCTTGCGGAGGCCCTGGGCTCCATTGTACGACGTGAGGGAGTGGGGGCGCTGTATCGGGGACTGGGGCCCTCCGTGGCGGCAATCTTCCCCGAGGCCGCCATCACGTACGGCTTGCATGACGCGCTCAAGAAGGCCTACACGCGGATCGCGCGGGAGGAGCCGGGAGTGGCGCCGTCGCTGGCGGCCGGGGTGCTGTCCGCGTTTATGGGGCAGCTGGTGTCGTTCCCGTTGGAGACGGTGTCTCGGCGGCTGCAGGTGGCGCAGGGCGCTGGCGGGCTCGCGGGAGCGGCGGCGGTGGTGCGGGGCTTGCTGCGGGAGGGCGGTCCGGCAGCGCTGTACAGGCGAGTACGATGTGTTTGGAATATTCGGAATTTTTAATAACAAAAACAACGGTTGTTATGTTTAATAAGCGCATACGCATAGTAGGTGAACACGCATATTCGTGGAGCTGTGTAAAGCTGAAGCTGAGCCGCGAAGAGAAAAGATATTATTTTCTTTATGGGTGTGACGACGGCAGCACACTTTCTGTCTTCGTGTCCGCATGCGTGATCTGTTCAAGATAAATAACGATGCAAAGTGGCGCTCACGCGCTCAGGGGTTGCCATGATGGAGGTAGGGGTAAGGGATATCCATTAACTTGAGCACCGCAGCGGCGGTTCTCCCCACCGCAGCCGCCCACCTGAAGTACTCGTGCACTGCACTAGCACGGCGCACCCGACGTCACCCCCTGTTAATATCGACCCGACTCCGTCCTCACTCCCCCCTCTCTACCTTGCCCCCATCCGGGGCCCCTGGCTTTTCCCGTCTGTCGGCGGCGGCTGTGGCTGTGCAGGGGCATCGGCGCCGCCACTCTCCGGCTTGTGCCCATGGCCTGCGTGTCGTTTGGCACCTACGAGGCCGTGCGTGCGCTCATAGTGACCTGGGAGCAACGCTGTGAGGAGCAGCAGGTCAAGAAGATGCTCACGTCCCGGTGAGGGGGTGGGTGGGGGGTGGCAGTAAGTGGCGTCGTCGTTAGGATTTCGGACTCGGACTGGACTGGGCTGGGTGAGGTGCAGGGTGACCGCATTCATGTAGAGGAGAGGGGGAGAGGAGGGGGGCCGTGTGGTTGTGACGGAGCCCGGAAAGCACGGGCGGTACACATGCGCGTGCATGTGTGTATGTGCGTGTGCGTCTGTGTGTGTGCGTCTATGTGTGTGTGTTGTGTGTGTGTGTGTTGTGTGTGTGTGTTGTGTGTGTGTGGACAAGGGGAGAAGGGGGGGTTCTGGTGGGAGGTTCCTGTTTGGACTGGCATGTGGAGTGTACCTGTGGTAGCAGGTTTGGACCGGCTTGTGGCAGTTGGTGGACCGAGGGAGGGGTAGCGACTGCCGCTGCCGCGCAACACCTCTTGACCTTTCAACCCGTCCTTCCGCCTTCCGCACCGCCCCTCCTTCGGCAGTCGTTTTTCATACATGTAGTCACCATCGTGTGCTGACGTGTTCTCCCATTACCCCCCCCCCTCCACCCTCCCATCGCCGGCCCACTGCTCTCCCATTGCCCTCCCCCCACCGCTGCAGCTGTGTACCGCTGGTTCTCACGGGGCCCGATGGTGGCAAGGAGGTGGTGGGTCGCATCTGCACACCCGCTGGCTCTCAGTCACCCGGCTTGTGTGGACCCGGAGGTGCCTCCTGCCCGGGTTCCGGAGCGCCGGAGGGTACCACCGCCCCCTCCTCCCCCTGCTCCTCTACCTCCATGGCAATGAGGTTGGACCTCACCCAAGTTCTGGAGGGAAGCCCGCAAGGGGGGGGTAACACTGCCGGTTGTGGTACAGAGTGCGATGCGGGGGCGGTAAGAGCGGGAGGTTGCGGTGCCGGCTTCGCCGCTGCTGCGGCGCCGCCTCCAGTAGCGTCTTGGGCGCCATGCACGACCGCTTTCTCCTCCTCCTCCTCCTCCCCCCCGGCGTCGGAGGCAGCAGTTGGAGCCCACGGCGGTCGCTGCGGTGGCAGCATTTCCTCCATCCGGGGATGTGGATGTCCCGGGGCGGGCTCCGGCGGGTAAACCAGCCAGCGTGAGGGAGTGTGAGGAGGGCACGTGGGGAGGCCCTGCCTGGACTTGGCGCATTGGGTTTTGAGGCATTGAGAGGCTTTGAGGGGTTGGAGCGACCTTGCGGTCGACCGAGCGAGCGGCGCTGCATTGCGCGGAGGGGTCACGTACAGCGCAGGATAGCAGCGTTGGTGGAGACGTGTGGAAGGTAGGGAGGAGGAGGGGGAGGAGGAGGAGAGGAGGGGCCGTGCAGCTGCAGTCCCGTCAGCATGCCGCTGCTTCGCCTGCCCGCCCGCCCGCCTGCCTGTACCACCCCCACCCCAGCGCTGGGAGAGCGGCGGGAATGTTTTGCCGGTGTGGGTGTGTGTGGCAGTTGCCAGTATCACGAGTAGCGAAGTAGGCGAGGCGCTGGGAGGCCGAAGAAGGACAATGATGACATGAGAATTCCTCAAGTAGGTCCCTGAGAGCGCCCGGTGCTGCGAGGACCCGGTCCTCCTTGTTGAGGTCTCCTCTAATGGGGTAGGTGTGACCGGGGCGCTGCACTGCGCCATGTGTTGGTTTCGGAGCAGAGGACCCAGAGGACTTAGCCCTGCAGGAACAGCAGCTGGGATGTGAGGCACGTATCAGGCTAGCTGGCCGGAACTGGTTGGGGGGCATAGGAGTTCGACGTGGGGAGCGTGCGGGGTAGAGCAGAGCAGCCATCTAGAAAGAGAAGACAAGAGAAGACAAGTGTGCCACTGCTACTGATAACAAATAATATATACCTTGGCCTCGAGGAAGGCGGCGGAGGAGGAGGAGGGTGAGTCAGCGATCAATATTAGCACACGCTTTTGCGTGTGTGGGATGCCGGAGGGCCGGGCAAGAGTGCAGTCCATGGCCAAGGTTAAATGGGGGGGAGATGGGGATGGAAAGAAGTGGGGGTGCAGGGCAGGGCAGGGCTGCAGGTTACAGCGTGTCAGTGTGGTGGCTCCCCCGTCCAATGACGGCCCCAGATCCCGGAACTTGTACTATTACTTTTGGATACCACTGTTGCAGACGACCCATGTCCTACAGGACGCACAGAGGGCGACACTCACTTCCCGGCTCCTGATAGCGGCTGTGTACAATGTTGAGCCACGTGTGTGTGTGCGTGTGTGTGTCTCTGCGCTGCGCTACTTTGTTGCTGTCGCGCAGTCGCTGAAGCAATGGACTGGGGGTTATACGGGAGACATTGCTGTCGTTTTAGACTTACAGCAGTCAGTTGTGGAAGCAGACGCGGCTGCGTTTGGTCAGGTGGCTTGTTGAAGCGCCCGGGGTTTTGTTTCTTGGCAGCTTTATCATTTTCCTGATCCTTGCGCGGTGATTTGGATCTGCGACTGTTGTATCAGCTCTCATTTCCGTGCGCTCTTCGCCGCCGTCGCTGGGACAGCGGGCTTTATTTTGCTCATAGGAACTTAACTTTTAACTAATTTAAGCGGGCAGCGTTTGTGACTTTTTGTTGCAACGACGGGGATGCTGAACGAGCTGGCGAGGAACGGCGATTTTCGTCGTGTATGTGTTATACTTGGGTGTACGAATTTTCGACTAGCTAATTAGTCGGGCGCAACAAATCCAAATAGCTTTTCGAAAAATTATTCAGTTGTTTTGGAAATGGTGGAGGAGCGCTGCGCCCGACATCAAACTATTCTTGTGTGGGCATTTATACAGATTACCTTTGCTTCTGCTTAGGCATGGCGGCGTTTGCGAACCCGGAACGAGCTCCTATACGTATTGTCTGCTGGATCCGGGCGGCTCGCCTTGGAAGGTTCCTCTTTCCTCCCTCACTGTGGGGCTGATGTGACGTTGTCTGTTGCCTCACTACATGATGATAGCATTCAATATCATCTCATGTTGTTCCGTTTTGGGGCTCCGGTGCACCAAAATCCTTGTCTTGTACACTGCTGGACTGGCTCTCTCTCTCTCATGCCCTCCTTTCTTAGAAGTAAGAATGCAGGACATTCTTTTGTGCACTTCTTCGCCATTTGCCCATTCTGCCGTCTGGTTTGCCTTGCTCGAGGGTGGGGAAATGGCCTTGTGTGGTTTTGTGTCAAAAATCTGAGTAAAGCAAGGGTGGCCGAGCGCTCGTTCAACGGGCAAAAGGAGGCACGGCTGCTTGATGCTGGGGGCGCGTGACGATTGCGCCTAGGACCCTTTTTGACAGTCAGGGGAGGGCGGGCGAGAGGGACGGACATCGGGTTCTGATGCGCAACATCATGGGTGCGCTTGTTGCTTGCCCGATTTTGTTTTTTATAACTTTACGGATCGCTGCGAGAGCAGCCGGCTGCTGCGCCAACCCTCAGCCCCTTGCTGTGGATGCTGCCAGGGCGCGATCAGAAGGCATGGCTCCTTGTAAGCTTACCCTGTTTTGAGTGTTGCAAATGTCGATCTTGAATATATTGTAGATATTTGGATATATTAAGCGCGGACCGAGGGTTCGTTCCCATGTGGAAGTCATGAGCAGTTTTCTGAGCTGTTGCTACCGCCGGCACCAGCATTGCCGCCACGCCAAGCGGATTTGCATCACGGGCCTGCCTGCGTGCATGTGTGTGTCTGTATGTGTGCCTGTTTCTCCATACCGGTACATTCATTCATGGCGCGTGGACAATGCAGCAGCCTGCTCGGGACATTGGCGGGAAAAGCCACCGTGGCGCAACATGCGTTCTTTCGCTACCGTGCGGGCACTGGCTGACCGGCGACTTCAGGTTAGCGAACCATATAGGACGGCCTGTCAAGGGCAACACAGTTCGCGGCGGCTTTTGGGCTTTGGCAGCCTCGGCTCACGTACTCCGCCATCAGCTGCTAACACGACCCCGCTTATGTAGGCCAGGGCGGCAACTTGCACCGGTCAGCCCTGGTTCGGGGCGATTTGGGGCGAGGGGCCGCCTCTGACTTCTGACCATGGTTCCCAAACTCTGGATAACTTCTGCTGTACAGTTTAATCAAATTCAAATTAAAGTGGCAAGCTCCTGCCCATCAGGGTCAAGCAGACGCCGACAGCAGCCCTTCTGGCTTTGCCAATTCTTTTCAGGGTACAAGACAGCACACAACCGCGACGAACTGCACAAGCAGACGTCCGCATCAGACTGACAGGCTTCAGTCGCCAACCGTAGAGGCCACTGATTTTACATTGGCATCCAATTGATAGTCAAGGTGCAGAAAAAAGCTTTGGAATCCGGGTAAAAAGTGTCAGCGCCCGCCTCGTGACGTGGTCGCCACTGTTGCCATTCCCGTAATCATGGCCCGCACCACATCACCCACATCACACATCATGAACTAAACCCGTACATGCATTCTCATATCCCCTGCTCTATTGCAGTACTGAGCGAACCAACAAATCCTCCTAGGACCTACGAAGCCACCTTGAGAACTACCGCGTAAATGGGCTTTAAAAACCCCGCCTTCAAGTCATTCGAAGTTGTCGGCACGAGCAGAGGAATTCTTACTGTGCCGAACAGACAACCCACTGCCAGAGGATGGCCACGCCTATAAACCCGCAGTCCCCTCAAAAGCCCAACGGCCAGCCCGTCGTAGACCTGGACCCTGCTGCGCATGCAGCGAAAACTGCTACTGCTGCTGCCGATGCAAAGCCCAGAACGATCAGCTTTCCAGAGCGGAAGGAGAGACGGCTTTGCTTAGACAGAAGGCTGGCTGGCTACTGATGTCCACGTCCTCCGTATATCAGAACCCAAAGCAGGCAGGGGCTTGTTGCTGCCAGACTGCCGTTTAATTGCTTACCCCAGCCACAGCAACTGGCCCAGGGTTGGTCTAGGTTTAGTGGTGAGCATGCCCACGAGGATGATGGTCGGAATGAAGCCCCAGTGGACTATGGGCTGCGGCACGCAAGGTGAAGCAACACATTGGCGATCAGATCGACAATTCCCGATAGGTTGCGGCACTTAATAAACCACGACCAATAGGCGTGTTAAAATGCAGCGCGGAAAGCGATGTGCTCTAAAAGCAAGGGAACTTATCCAGGCGGCACGCAAAAACTCACCTTGCCGTAGGTTATGGCCACGTCTAAGGCGCTTTCAAGCTTTTTCATAACTTCTGTTGCATTCACCATGATCAACAGTGGCGGCGAAACTGCTCCACCGAAAGTGTTCCGGTAGCCACGCGCGCTGCCACCAGGTGGCTGGTCAGTACTAACAACGTGCGAAGACAAGTATCGGAAGGAATGATGGACCTGTACTTGCATACACGATTTGTGAAGTTGCATGTTTGTCCTAACCACCTCTCGGCCCCATGCAATCGTGCCGTTTGTCCTGCATCATCATGGACCCTAAAGCTACGCTTCTGACCAGTTTTTGCCCAGTTTGCAAAACTAATGGGGAAAATGGATTCTCATAAGCGTAGTGCTAATGCAGCGGGTATAAATGGCGAAGGGGGCCCTGAATACAAGTCGGCGCGCTTGCCAGGTGCGGATAGGCCTCAGTTTTTTGCAGGACTAAACTACATGTGTCATGTGCACCATGGTTTCTTTCTGGGTACTCTTCAGCCTCAAGGATCGCTGACCTCTGCCCTATGCAGACCGCTTCGAATCCTGCGATCATCGGTTGCGGGATCGCATTCTGCGGTTGGTTTCGGGTGGAATGGTAAGTGGTGGGTGTCCAGCGTTACGAAGTTGCGACCTGGACATCGAAGGTCCGGCATGGTGTGGTTCAGGTGCGGGCCGAGGACGTGGACGACAAGGCGCTGGACCAATTGAAAACCTTGAGGGTCGATGACGCGATTAATGTCGTCGACCAGTTTGAACGTGCGGTGCACGGTGGAAACGTGAAGAACAAAGGTGCTTACCTCGCCGGGGTTGCCACTCGTCACAAGCACTTCGGGCATGGGCCGAAGCTGCCCAAAGACATACAGCAGCGACTGGAGCAGCTTTACCGCTCTGGCAAACTGCGGGATTCGGTGAGTCGGGTAAAGGTTCCCTTTCAAGGGTAGCGTACAGGTTTCTTTCGCACCTGCCACTTTCTATCGCACCTGAACCCGGCTTATGTTCTCCGCAAGCAACCTGCCAAATGGAGCTGCCAGCTCCTTCGTTCCCATCTGTCAATTAGCTCTCAACACAATCCTAAATGAACCCGCGTACTATTCCACGACTCTCATGTACACACGACACACGAGCTGTGTATATGTGCTGTCTGACTCGCGCCCCACCCACCGCACGTCCCTTCATCCCTCACCCATGTTCTGCACACGGCTACAGCAAATCTTTGATGCCAAAGTGCTTGAGGCCATCAGCGATATGGAGCATGGCCTTGCTCTACGTGTTATCGAAAACTTCGAGAGCAAGGACCTTGAGGATGCTCGGAACATCAACGCGTTGTTCATGGCCACGATCAAGATCACCAAAGAGCAGGTATGCACAATTTCAGTCCCAGGGTTTCGAACCGGCGACTTGCCAGCAGCTTCAAAGGTAAGAGGTGTAGTGGACCGCCACATTGTGGGCCGCGGCGCCGCTGTCTCGCCTTCCTCTCAGCCGCCTCCTCTTCCTGCCTCAGCCGCCTTATTCAGCCCCCTCACCTCACGTCTTCTCACCTCACCTCACCGTTCATCCTAGCAGCTGATTGCCGAACGAGAGCAGTTGAGTTGGTTCGGTGGTTCCGGAAATGGGAAACAACAACTTGCGAGCGGAAAAAGATTCTCCATGAAAGAGAGAGTTGGGGCCATTAAAGGAAACAAAATTCTTGGATATGGATAGCTGATGGGCGCCGATGAGGTAACGATGAGCTGAGGCAAAAGGCTGAGGCTGAGGCTGAGGCAAAAAAGGTAAACCCAAATTGGTGATCGCGGCGTCGATTGACGGCGGCGTCAAAAGTGGGAAAGTTTGCAGCGAAGCTGGAGGAATTGGTGAAGATGATTGGCTGTTTTCGAGAGGTGGCCCTCCTGGAGAGGTGTGACTTGCACATTGCCTTGCCAAGTTGGGTTGGGTTCAGCGGAGGTTCTCTTTGCCCTTCATGGGTACCGTTCCGGCGACGACGTTCTTCGCTATGTGCAGTATTCCCTAATACGTACCGTCTTTCGTACAACCGTCGTGACCATACGAATCGAATCGCCGATCGCCACCCTCCTCCGCCGCCGCTGCCGTCCGGTCGCGATTGCCGCGGACTCTCCGGTCGGGCCCCCTCCGGTTTGCACCTGCGATTGCCGATGCAGATTGCGCGCGACCGCCCGTACGGAATGCCACCGCCGCCGCCGCCGCCGCCGCCGCACGGCTACCGCGATTCGCTGCCGCCGCCGCACCACGGAATGCCCCCGCCGCCGTACGGAATGCCCCCGCCATCGTACTCACAGCCGCCGTACTCCGCTCCGCCGCCGTCGTATGGTGCCCCTGCGCCGTACGCTCCACCCATGATGCCCGCGCCGACGCCGATGACAGGTCAGCCCCTGATGCGCTCCTCGGCCCTCTGAACGTCCCCCACACGTGGCGGCGCTGCACTCCCCGTTCGGGCTCGCAATGGGTGTCAATGTCCGACCCGTGGGGCTATATTCACGTGACTCCTCTAGGGTCGTTAGGTTCGTTGGCTTGGGTGCTGGCTTTCGTTTGGTCGGCTGCCCCCGCACAAGAGGCTATTAGTTCATGTAGCGATCTGGTGCTGGCGGGTGAGCTTCGTGGCTGGGCTCGTGTCGAGCATAGCTAGTGCTATTTGCCGCTGGATGCTCGATTGCGACCCGTTGGGTTTGCATGTGGTTGACAGTGGTAGTGTTCGGTTTCGGAGCAGACGTGGGGTAGTTGCGTGGGGACGAGCTGCAAGGGGGGATGACAAGAGCGGCTGGTGAGAGACCAGCAGACCAGACCAGACCAACTGACCAGGCCAGCTAGTGAGGGGCGCAGATGCACCTAGTGGTGCGCATGGGAGGGGCGTGCAGTGCCCGGCAGCCTCTCCCTCCTGATGATGGCGGTGGTGGTCGCCAGCAGCAGCAGCAGTCTGATGGGGGGCCGATGGGGTGGGGGGTGGGGGTAGCTAAACCAACTCGGCCAAGTGAGTTGCTTGGTGGTGTTGGCGGAGGAGGTGGTGGTGGTGGTGGTGGGGTTGTGAACCAGTCCTGCCTCAAGGCCGGAAGGAAGAGACTTAGACCGACAGACAGACAGACGAGCGTGAATGGTTACTGATAGCCGACTGCCGATGGATACCATACCTCCTAGCTCAGCTCAGCTCAGTTGCAGCGCTGCACAGCTTTCCTGGATATGGCCGCCTCATGCGGGCGAGCTGTGATTTCAGCCCGGTGCACATCGGGTCGCCCGGGTCGTCCCCCGCAGCCGGCCGTATAGCTCCATCCTGGAGCGCCCACAAGGTCCCATGTCGGATTACCTCCCTCACGACCTTGGCGTGCGGCCCCGCAGGCCACCTGGCCCCTCCTCCCCACCTCACTTGATCTCAGCCCGCTTAGGGTTGGAGTCCGCCTGATAGCGGGCTGCACACCTGCTTGCGCACAGCGTACCCCCCCGGGTATCCCCTACACCATTTCTGGGTCCGGCGCGTACAAACCGCGGGCTACTCCTTCAACCCGATTGGATTGATGTCTTAGCGGCTCCTTTCCCCTCGTTCCTGCTAAGAACCCCTTCATGCTCCTTTCACCCACTGCCCCAATTGCTGCCGTACAGCTGCTGCACCGTCATCCTCTGGGCCCCCGCGGCGCCACTACGGCAGCGAGCAGGCGGCGCTGGGGGTCCGTATCGACGAGTTGCACAACCTCAGCGTCCACGCGCCGTACGTTCCGGGCGCTGTAGCACTGACCCTTCAGCGGGCCTGGGACAGCGGCAACCGGCTGGTGTCGTTGTTGGATGAGGGCTCTTGGAAGGCGCTGACGGAGATGGAGTCGCAACACGGGCAGCAGGTGGGTACTTGGGTGGGGACATCGGGGGGTGGGTGGGTGCTCAGTGCTCGGAACGGCAGGGGTTGGGGTCTTAGCGCAGGCGAGAAAAGAGGAGGAGCAGCGCCGTTAGCTGTGCTGACTTGACTCTGTCTGCACTAAGCGAATCGGTTGGTTGGGGAATTAAGAGGGAGCGAGAGCGAGAGAGATTAGAGATGTATACGACCGGGTCGGCACAGAGCAGCCTTCCGCTGGATGCTGCACAGCCCCACAGCACTCGCAATCACCACATGGTACCACCTTGGTGCTGCGGCACCGGTTTCCAGTTCGTGAAGCTCTGATCGTCTTCCCGGGTGCCCCCTTCAGGTGGTTAACGAGGTCGTTGAGGCCATGAACCAACAGGCGATCCGCAACTGCAACGCGTTTCTCATTGTGAGTGTACTTATTTGTATTTGGTAGCATCCTGCCCGTCGTAAATTCGTACGTAGCGGGAATGGACTGCGATTTGCAGTACCTGCACTGTGAAATGTCACGGTGCTGTGTAATGTGTTTTTTTGTTTATTACCAAATAACGTTTGGCAGAACAACCAAACCACCACGTCTCCTGGTTGCACATGTTTTAAACTGCGATGTCCTCTCCCGCCGCGCGCACGTGCATGGGACGCCAGCAGCAGCCGGTCTTTTTGTTGTATTTCCATTTTTATTTTTCCTCCCCACGCACGCACACGCACACGCATGCTACTTGCCACCTCATCGGGGCCCTGCGCGGCTCCTTTCCCCCTTCCCCCCATGTTGTCGACCGGGTGGCAGTCCGTGGCTAAGAAGTTCCTGACCGGCACAGCCAGCTCTCCTGCCGCCGGAAGCTACGGCGGCTCGGGCAGCTTTGGCGGTGGCTATGGAGGTAGCAGCGGCTACGGTGGTGGCGGTGGCGGTGGCTACGGTGGAGGGGGCCCCGGCAGCCAGAAAGGCATTCCCGCGCTAAACAAGCTGCATGGCGTGCTGAGTCAGCGGGCGCAGGTGACTGGGTAATGGGGTAATGGTGGGTGGGTCCAGGCCCGGCTGGAGCTGTCTCTTGCTCCCGCGACCTAACCTCAGGCCGTGCAGCGGCGGCCTGGTGCGCCGGTCGGTGGGGGGCTGCCTAGCCTCGTGATGTTGTGGTCGGTGGGAGCTGAAGGCTGTTGCTGGTCGCCTCAAAAATGGGGAGGGTGACTGTGGATAGGAAGGGTGAATTAATTGATCAAGGACCTATCCTCTGTCTGTGTTAACACTCCACTTATTAGGGGACAGCATGACCTGGCCCCTACCCGTGTGTGCTGTATTGCTGAAGGTGAGGTCACAGCTCAGCAGCCTCCCTCTGCTGTGCACGTTCCCGACACCCCCCCATTCCCCATCCCCCCATTCGCCGCCGTGTCTGTTGCTTCAGGACCTGCTGTCCCAACACGCCCCCGTGCTCCGTGAGAGCCACTTTGATGAGGTGGTGGTGTCACAGCTGCAGAAGCTGCCCGAGCACGAGGCGCTGGAGGTGCTGGCGGAGGTGGGGCGACACGAGCTAGTGGGGGTCAAGAACATCCCCGCCTACATCATGGGAATTATCAACCGCTACAAACGGGGAGGCTCGCGGCCGGGATATTGAGCAGCGTTCTCTCTCTCTCTTTCTGTCGTCTCTCTCTAGGCTTGGCGTTCTGTCCAAGAAAAGATCTTGGGCTTACGCATGCTCATGCGGCTCATCACACCACGACTCTAGTTGAGGTTTAGGTCTTGCCGACTGCGCTCCGGCAGCTTGGGCGTCAAGGCGCCCAGGTCCGCACCCCGGGGGCCCCAAAGGCCCATCTGGTGTGACTGGGGAAAGGAGAGGAGGGGTGAACAGCGCGCGGGGGTGAGGTTTGCTCCGTGGTGAAGAGGCAGTGTTGTTGTTGTTGCAACGTGCCACGTCGGGCCCCTTGGTGGTTCGCCCTCGTGGGGAGTTGGGTTGCTGCTGTCGCTAAGGTGGTGGTTGGTTCTTTGACGGTTGGGGCTTGTGGGGAGTATGGGGGAGGCGGGTGGCATCCTCATCGCAAGACGGATGGGACGTTGGGCGTGTTGGGGGGGCTGGGAGGAGGAGAGGAGAGCGTTACGGCAGGCACTCGAGACATGAGGAATTGATGGGCTGCATGTTCCATAGGGACCTTTTTGACTCCCCCTATGGCGCTGTTCATGACCGGCATCCTGTTTTGAGCCGCCGCTGTCCTCTTGGTGCTGATCAAGACGATGTTGATAAATAATGATGATGATGATGCTAAATAGTATACCATGCGCGCCTGACTTTCAAATAGGGCTTCCATCCATTCGCGCTGAAAAGCTGCGGGAACAAGCGAAACGAAACGCACGGAAGCAGCATGTCGCGTCTGAAGGCTTTCCCCACAAGCGCTGACATTAGTTTTAACTCTTCATCTGGACCGACCTCTTGTTTGCGCGCTACTTCCGGCAACTGGGGCCTCTCCCTCTAGCTATGGACCATCGCGACGGCGGCGCTGGCGGCTTGGGAGGCGCGGAGTGGAGGGTAGGGGAAGGTAGGAGAGGCTTTAGGGTTGAGCGGTATTAGCGGCCTCGTGGGGCCCCAATGTCGATTTCCGAATGTGGGCACTTGGTGGCGGTGTTGGACCCACTCCCCAGTCGGAGGGTCCACACACCAACCTCAGGACGAGGACCATATCCTGACCAGTAACTGGGATAACCGCTACACGGCAGGCTGTGTCCTGCGGCAGTGTATGTAAGCTGTTGCGGTTGCTGCCGCGGAGTGCCGTCCGGAGGCGTCCGAACCGACTGCTGCATGTATGCCTCGCTGCGATAGCGCGCCATGTACTGCGGCTTCGAGCCTGGAATACGGGTCGCCTCACCTGTTACTACGGTGCGTGGTCGTAAGACGGAGATGCGTGTGTTGAGATTGCCGATTGCGACTCGCACTGTCCTTGGGGCTGTTTCACTGCATCCGCTTATGACCCCACCCCGAGAGGGTCTCCCCGGATACAGCCCCGCTGTCATATTGCCCCCACATTGCCTGCCATGGTATCGGCCTCCTGCCTGCCGAAATGCAGCGCTGCGAAGGGTCCGAGTGTGGCTGTTGGTTGTTGATAGGAAGGCGGAAATCCTAGAGCCCCAGAGCACTGGGGCACGTGCTCGAGGGAATGTCTGTGAACGGAAGGCTGGCCAAGTTCTGCGAGACGGCATCTGCCGGTGTTGCCCGGCTTCCCTGCGCAAGGAGGTCCCTGGGGATAGTGAGCGCTTCCCTTCTTACGTAAGGAGTGCTGAAAAACAGGATGGTCGCTGCGTTGTGTCGCAGATACGGGAGCGGCTAGGCTCCACCTGCCATTTTTTGTGATACGGATTAGCCAAGTGATGAGCCTGATGGTGGGACGGAGCAGTGTAAAATCTGCTTTCCATTTCGTGATCGCGCCATGTCTAGGAATGGCTTTTGTCCTTTTGTCTTGTCGCCCTTGTTTATGTCGCCCTTGTAAAGGTTTTTGATGACAACCCAGTATTGCATGGACGCGTCTTTTATGGTCCGCCTTCCGACGCTCCTGACCCTCCTCCTGAACACATATGGGTTGACGGGGACAGTGTGGAGGCCTCTGAAGGTCCAGGGTGCTCAGGTGCCGTGTGGCGGCAGTGTGTCCCCCGCGGATATCCCTCGTTCTGTTGCATGGTGGTGCGAACCATTGGTTCATTTTGGCGAGAGGTTCGCAGGCACGTATGTATCACATCGTATGTAGCAAGCGCCAGCTCGCTGACCTTTGCTGCTTGCTCCGCTTTCACACCGCGGACAGAAAATACGACGGGGGCGTGATGCTGCGGACGACGTATTATCTCAATGTGTGTCTCTGTGTGTATGTGTGTATGCGCAACTTCGTGACGGCTGCACGGGTCCGTGCCTGAACAGGCCTCAAAGGTCTACGGTACTCGTCCCCCTGACTCTTCTGTGTGCGGATGGAAAACACCTTTACACTGCTGAAACTTTCCGTCAAATAAGTTCCAGACGCTAGTCAGGTCAGGCGGGTGAAAGGTCATCCTGATTGTAGCTTGGCCGCGTAGGGGCCAAGACCTTACGCTGGCGCTGGATTAGGGCGCTCAGGCCCCCCGCCAAAACGGGTGGCCGACCTCGCGCCGCCGCCGCATGTGCATCTGGCCCAAGCACATCCTCCGCGTATCGTAGCGCGCGAAGCAGGATTTGTTTCTGCTGGATGCGCCATTGTAACGCCAGTCTCGCGCACGTCAGCCCGTCGGATAACGCCCTCGCTGACACTCCTCCGGACGCGGCTGCTGCTTCTGTTGGTACAGCAGCAGGCTGTGACGGGGGCGCATGGGATTGTGGCGTACAATTTGGAACCGCTGCAGCCTTGGTGGCGCCAGCAACAGCGACATCCCGGGCGGCTCCCGGGGGTTCCGCAGCGCCCGGCCCCTCCTCCGTGGCCTGTGCCACTTCCTTTCGGGGTGACATTCCCGCGCCCAGCGCTACAGGCGACACAGCCGCAGCCACAGCCTCGCAAACTGCTTCATGTTGTGGGCGTGGCACTACTTCATTTTGCTGCTGCTGCTGCTGCTGTCGTTGTCGTACTTCTGGTTCCTGTGTGCCGTTCAGCTGCCGCAACAGCTCCAGGTCCTGTACGACAGTAGTGGGTAGAGCTGCCAGTTGGCTGCCACATGCGGCATGAAGCCACTTCAGAGCCAGGCGGTCGCCCTGGTCGCACCAGGATGGTAAGGGGAGGGGAGCGGAAGAGGGAAGGGAGGGGGAAAGACGTACCACGAACGAGTGAAGCTGCTGCCAGGGCAAGAGTGTACCAGGAGTAGAACTGAACTAGGGAAGGTGGGAACGGCCGGAGTGTTTGAGTGCCACTCACCCACACGCTCAGGATCTGGAAGCCCCTTGCGCCCGATGAGATGCTGCGGCTCGCCGGCCCATGTCCTCGCACGCACACATCCCCAATTCCCGCCTCCGCCCCCTCACCTGCTCACTCACTCGCTCCCCAGCTGCCATCAAGTGCCCTGCGCTGCGACGCTCTACCGGCGAGGCAGCGCAATATCGCAACAAGTGCAGCAGCTGCCAGCTGGGTTGCCCGTTGGCGTGCAGGAAACAGTCCGAGGGCGCCAGGTGCGGCGCACCGCCGGCCGTCCTCGCAGCTGAGGGCAATGGCAGCAGGGCCGGATCCAGCCGGGCCGTATCATGCAGGTTGCCCTGGGCCCAGAAGGGGGTCAAGGAAAGTGCCAGGGGCGGCGTCGGCACTGAGATGACTATGGCCGCCGCAGGAGCATCCTTTCGGCGACTTTTTGAAACGTTTGGATTACCTCAGCCAACCAACCAGTCCGGCAACACGGCTAAGTTAGGGAGCTGCACACCGCCGTACCTCCAGCACAAAGCCGTAATACTCCAGCAGCTCCAAGTTTGTGTACCGACCGTAGCACAGCATCACCTGTTCGCCTTCGCGGTACGGACGCCGTACGACAATGCAGTACTGCTGCGTGGCCTCGTCCCACATGCCGTCACCGGCGATTGTGTACTCACAGTCCTCCTCATCTCTACCCCCCGTGTTAGCAAGTGTCCCGCCACCACTGCCACCAACATCACTACCGCCACCATCATCATAACCACCACTACCCCCGCCATTAACATCACCACCATCGCCATCATATACACCCGATTTGGCGTTATCATTCCCTTTCCCAACAGCCGCCGAGTCCGCCTCCGTCGGGCCCAATGATGTTGATGACGAGGGTGGCTGAAGACCTGTTTTAACGTCCTCCCAGCTGCCGAGTCCGGTGGCACCATCTTGGCTGCCCCCTTCACGAGCTTCTCCCCCGCAGTCCCCCGTTTCGCCGCCGTCGTTGCCAAGACCATTGCACCTCCCCATGCAGCTGCCAGCTCGGCATGCATGCGCTTCTAAATCGCCGTGGCCCGCACCGACTGGGGAAACGGCGCCTGCAGACAGGTCACTGCTACCGTCATGATGACCGCGGTTGCCGCCGCCGCCACCCTTATCCCGGCTGCTGTTGCTGCTGCTGCTTCTGCTGCTTCTGCTGCTGCTGGCACCACACCCTGCACGAGCGCCGTTGGCATCGCCCGTGTCAAAAGCCGCCAAGCGCTCGTCCCCTCCTCCATCAACTGCCACCCTTGGCAACGGCTCCAAGACGAGTGGAGGGTCTAACGAAGATGCCGCCGCTGCTGCAGTTTCAGGTGTTGCATGTTCCTCACACTCAGGGCCTGGGGCGCTAGGCAGCGGGGGAGCCACTGGGGGGTCGACGGCAACAGCACCGGCATCAGGTGCGGCTGCGGCGGCTGCAGACAAGCTAGAGCACGTGGCAGCCGGTCCGCCAAGCCGCGGTGTGTACGGCGCCCTAGGCGGTTGGTAGTTGTGGAGGTCACCGTACGGCGTGAGGCAGCCGGCGGGGCACCAGGGTAGGTACATGGTGCGGCTGTGGAGGGTGGAGGTCGCCCAGAGCCAGGCACGGAAGGCTGTGAAGCGCTTGGGCAGGGCTGCAGGGCCGGGTACGGAAGGAAATTGAAAATGCATTCCCGGGGTTCCAGATGTATGGTTGTAGGTATGAATGTAGGTGTGGATGTGTGGATGGATAGTGGAGCGGAGCCCCCGGTGGGGCCGAGGGCGTATCTGGGCGTCCGGATATCTGCCAGTGCCCGGGAGGCAGTTCTGAAGGCAGCAGGCGTGTATAGGTGCGTGACCCCTGCTGGTGTGCCCCCAAATAAATAGGGCGACGGGAAAGCCTCGCATTACCTCGCAGATCCTTCCTCTGGCCCGAATATCTTTTCCTTGACATATCCTACAACACACACACACTCTCTCTCTCTCCCTCACTCACGCAGGTCGTGCAGTACATGCAGTGCCTGGCGCCACTCCGTCCTCGCCCGCTCCACCGCTGCCTCCGCCGCGTCAAGTGCGTCTTGCAGCTGCAGCTCCGCCACGTCATCCGGTGAGAAGTTGGCTAGGGAGGTGTAGCTGCGAGGAAGCTGCTTCAAGTACGGCCACCAGAAGGACTGCGGACCCCGGGACACCTCCAGCAGCAGGTGGCAAGCAAGCACCTGATGGGGACCCAGGCCGCAGCCGCCGCCGCAGGAGGGGGCGGCGGCGACACCCCGGCTGCGTTCCGTGTGGCGCTGCAGTGCTGCAGCGAGTTGGGGATCCCGTGCCGCGCTGCGGGTTGTGAGCAACAAGCGCTCCGGAACCCGCAGCACCGCCTCACCTGCGGGGCGCGTGTGTATACATGGGTGTGCAAATACAGGGAAATGCCTTTAAAGTGATGCGAGGAAGAGAAGGGAGTTACCTGGGAATTACTTTGACGGTTATTTAAGGAGTAGTTTGCTGTTATGAGGGGGTGGGACACAGGGCGAGCTACATGGTGTCTCACCGGGCTGAAGGTCCCTTGTGGCAACAATGCCACGCCAGCCCTCCGACACAAAAGCCGCAACGATGCCATTAAAGGTGACACCGTTCAGCATGCACCAGCTAGTAAGCTCCTGGTCTGCCATGTCGGTTGTTCAGGTACGCACGCATGCAAGCGGCGGCTTTCAGGCTATGTGCACACGCGAAAGTGTGTTGATGAATTGGTTTATACAATATATGTCCATGCTGGCGATGCTAATCGATTATCCTCGATGCGGTTTCGTGGCAGTATTTACAAATTGAATCATCATCTATCCGATAACCGCACTACGTGTAAATATTTGCTGCAAATCGCGGAAAATTCAGTGTTAGCAACGTGTTGATTAATTAGTAATTTCGTCGAACCCTGTCTGGGGAAGCATTCTCCGAAACCCCGTTCAGTAAGTTTGTGGCGTTGAGCCTTTATAGCACAAAGATGCACCTCCAGACTCCTGACCTACTTCTGCCTTACATCTTGCGAGATACACGATAATGCACGATACGACCACGCCACGGCAACTCATCCCATACCACGTCATATAACCAGCAGGGCACTAATCCATCCGCAGCCAGCAATTCTCCTTCCTATCCCATGCCGACAAAAAAACAAGTGTGAACGCCTCCGAAGCTGCTGAACGAGTTGCAGGGTCCCTAGCGCAGCTTAACAAACAACAAACCCCCAAGAACCCCGACCTCCGGGGATATTAATCACTGCTCAAAGGTGAAAGCAACGTGCGGGGGCAAGAAGCGCTCGAGGGAGGAGTACAGCGCACCTCCCTGGTGCCATCCACGGTGTCCAGGAAAGCGGGGGAACAGTCCCAGCGTCCCCAATGCTGCGGACGTGGGACCGCACCCTCTTGGTGGCCTCGAAGACCCATCGGGCGAACCAGCGGGCGAAAGTCGGTGCAACCGAAAGGCAACCGATTTCGCATGGGCCACATGTGTTGTATACATACATACGTGCATACATTCATACATACATACATACATACACACACATCTCAAAACATTAAAACATACACAGACACACACAGAAACATAAAGATATAGGTGATCATACGTGTGCACACAAAGGGGCAAACAGAGACACATGGGGAAACATACAGACGCATACAGGCCGCGAAGACCCCAGATACGCATGTTTTATGCAAACCACAAACTTCGTGGATCAGAAGTCGTGGTACATCTGTCGCCATCAAAACGGAGTCGCGCCGAATGGCCACTGGCCTTGACGACCAAACATTGTACTCACAGGCTCATGGCTCATGGCATAAATGGAGATATCCAATCACTTACGACCGTCCGTCTGAAGGATGCGGTTGTCAACGCATCCAGCAAGCAAACAGATCACGACAGCGCATCACAGTTGAAGTGCCGGGCAGCGACTCCCGGCGCGGGCGAGGAAGGTGCTCAACTGGCCGAATGGGGCCGTAGAGACGCACCCAAGCCCAGCAGAACGTACGACGCATCAACTCCACAAACCGAAAAAAAACGGGTTGAACACGAACAGGCACGGATGCTGGAAAGAGCTGCAAATGAAGGCCACAATCATGCATCCAACTACCGCTTCCAACCAAAACTCTCCCAAGCCAAAATGCGCTGCATGAAACGAGATGATGCAGGACGATGCACGGTACATGTAAATGCATGATGGCACCCTGTGGTACTCTACGATCAGATTGCGGAATGCATTTGACAGCAAAATCCAAACTGACGAAACTCTTTACTCCTCACTGTTATCACAAAAAGATAATTTGCCCCGAAAAGCCGCAACCAACGTTGGCAACGGGCAAGCTATTTGATCGCGCATGGTACCTATCTATGTTCTCTTTCGCCTTGGGATGCGCAACAGACCTTCACAACACAACACCATGGGAATTAGAAATTATGCAGTGAATTCAGCTTTTAATTTGTGGCCGTGCAGCTGCGAACTTGACGAAAAAAACCGGCTTGCCCGTCGCACGCTTCCGCTCTTGGAAGGCGCCGGTGCGCTAAGCTCTCTCTTCAAGCAGAAAATAAACCATTCGTTAGAGAACATCTCGCACTCCACGGAAACGTGCGGTTTTTCCCATCGTTTCCCATCCTCCGTCGTAGCGACGGTTGCGTAGGGAGACCGCTCAGTCGCTCAGCAGCGGAGCCCTCAATGTGCGATGCTCCGGCCTCAATGATGGTGACGGTATCTAACATTGAAAATTATGCCACCAAATGTAGCCTGCGGCCTGTACAGCAGCGGCCGCTAAAAGAACTAGACCGAACACTAGGGCACGAACACACACGCGAATTACGTAATAAATTTATGGTAGATCATGTGCGTACAAACGGCATCCTCGCTGAAGAGAAACATCTCACGTGCTTTGTTTCCATGGCATTCAATTCTGTAGCTACTAACATCATGATCCTGTATAAGCTCTCCAACCTCGTGTTTTATTTTTTCTAAAATCAGCTACACTACGACTACGACTCTATCTACGCGAGCAATACCAGCAAAAAAACCCATCAGTCGCTTTCCTCCAATGTCTTTCCCCAGCTAACCTTTCGCTGAACTCCCTCTTCTCCACGCTCCAAATCCATGGCGTAAAGCGCGCTCCTGCTTATTGCGCCATGTTATCAAAATCGGGCTACAGGTCGCTCTCCGGATCCTGACCGATCACCGCCGCGTTCATCTGACCCTTAAGCGCCTCACTGGCTCGGCCCAGCGCTGCCTGCGCTACCACCTGCCAGGCCGCCGCCACTCGATGCGCCGCCTCCGCGACCACCGAGTTTCCGCAGCACCGCAGTGCCGTAATGGAGTCGCTCACCATCAGACACAGCCGCAGACTCAGCCGCATCTCGGCAATCTTGTCAAGGATCCCTACTACCTGTTCCGCGTCCATGGAACTGTTGCCGCCGCCGCCGCCATCGCTGCCGGCGTTTCGACGGCATGAGCCGCCGCCGCTCTCGTCAATCTCGGCATCTATCTCCATGTGGCTTGCCGCGCCGTGGAAGTCCTTGTGGCGTCCACCTCTGTCCGGCACCAGATCTTGCACTTGCATTTGGACTGTGCTGCCGGGTTCCACCCCGACCGGGCAAGGGGTTGTTGCCGCTGCCGCAGCGGATTCAGCGAAGGCCATCAGCTTTTCAGCCCAGAAGCCGAAGGTGGCGGCGGTTTCCCTGCTGGGTATGGCTGCAGCGTATCCAAGGCGTATGGGGCCGGGGCCAGGGTCATGAATAACGGCCGAGGCAGCAGGGCTTAGGACAGGAAGGCAGATTAGGTGCTGTCCAGCCTCTGGACCCGCGATTTGGATAGGGACAGTCGTTTGCAACAGCAGCTCGGGGCATTTGGAATCTGAGGGCAACCCAATGTAAAGAAAGCAAACCCAGTGAACAGAACCCACGTTCCTTGCAGCGCCCTTGATCGGCATCCCTCAACGTCACCTCTGCATGAGGAGAACCCCTCCCCAGCTCCCGCCCGCGGCTCAGTTCAAAGCAGCACGGAACACACTCACAGGTGACCCACTCCAGCAGCTCCGGGAAGCGTAGAAAGGCGGCGCGCACGTCAGGCGCTGTGTAGGGGTCGAAGTCTGGTTCCGAGTCTGGCGGCACCAGACAACACTCCGCATGCATCAGGTAGCCGGGGCTGCGGGACACCGAGTCGTCTTTTGGTGCGGGGCTGAACATCTGGCAGCAGCCGAAGGACGCGGAGCCAGCCTCTGACAGGCAAGACCAGGTGGCTGTGGGAGCAGCCATGGCGGCCGCCGCCAAGTCCGGGGCGGGTGTCGCACCGCCTTCAGACAAGGTACGGCCTCGCTCCCCATTGCCATTTGACGCCTGGGTTGCCCAACCGGGTAGCTCTTCTGCCGCGTCTTCTTCCTGGGGTCCGTTCCTGACTAGGAGTGGTGGCAGGCACGACATCTCGGCCAGCGCATGCTGGCGTTGAGGTTGCTGGTCGGGCTCGTGGTCGTCGGGATTGTCCCAATCTTGCCACGGATCGCGGTGGCGGCCGACCGGCCACTGTTGCGGCTGCGGCTGCGGTGGTGGCAGTGGTGGCGGTGGTGGCTCGGCCTCGCCGAACATGGGCGGATCGAGGGCCGCGTGGAGCCCGTCCTATCCGAGGGTTCAGTTGGCGATCAGCAGTCGTTGGCGATTAAAGTTGCCGAGGTGACGGAGGGGAGCACAGGATGGCACGGTGAGAGGACAGAGAGGGATATCGTTCGGCTGCCAATGTAAACGCAAGGTAGAGCAGCTCATGTTTGGGTACCTATGTTGATGTGGGTTTGCTGATAGGTGGGGTGGTAGATGGGTGGTGGGGGTGGTGGGGGTGGTGGGGGTGGTGGGGGTGGTGGGGGTGGTGGGGGTGGTGGGGGTGGTGGGGGTGGTGGGGGTGGTGGGGGTGGTG